GATCTCAAGAAGACAGCCTCAGGGGATAAGCCTTAAATGGCATAAACCAGTCCTAGTAGTTTCATTCCCTTTGGCCAGTGACTGGTCTCAGGGTGAGATCATGACCCAATTCTGACAAATGAGATGTAAGGGGAAGACGGCTAAGGAGGTCTTCCCTTCCTTGGTAAAAAGGTAAAGGCTTGAGGCCTAACAAGGAAAGAGCCTTTTGCCCATTGCCCTCCCCCCCTGTTCCCGTCTAATGCAGTCATGAAGTCTGGAACAGCAACAGCCATTTTGGAACCATGAGGCAAAAAGCATGAGGCCTAAAACCAACATGCCTGGAATAACGAAGCACAGAGACCCAGGGTTCTTGCTGACATCCTTGCTATATCAGTTCCAGATCTGGCTCCCGTAGCTCCAGCTGTGGCCATGGCCACATTGTACATAAGCCTGATGAAACAAGCACTGTCATGGCAACTGAGGAAGCTGGAAAAAGACTGGCATCTACAAAGGGGGGATCCAGCCACTTGTTTACTAAAGGCCTCCTGTCCAGGTGTCCTTTGATGGGCATTCACATGGAATACAAAACTTCTCACATTGCTCCCTGTTCTGAGAGGTTCATCCACATACCTGGGATGGCCCCAGACCTTTTTACTTTTGAATCTTCAAACTTGTCCTTTCCAAGTTCCTGGACCTTCAGTCAAACTGTTAGCTATTGTCCCTGACCTGGTATAAATCCTCTACCTCTGGTTTTCTCTCCATCCAGGCAAGTGGCCCAGAGGGGGAACTGCCCTCCATCTCGACCTTTCAGGCACACTCTGGAGTGAAGCTGTTAGGATACAACACCCCACTTCTGGCTGGTGCCAGCACATTTGCAAAACGAGCTGTAATTGGGTCTGCGTTTTTCTTCTTCATTCTTCTGCCCCATGAAGCCATAGTTGTGGGGAGTGGGCAAGGAGGAGATGGAGCAGGAAGAGGTGCTGTGGGAGTCTGAGCCACCTGCTCACGCAACTCACTTGTGTTCCTGGACCTGCTCAAGGATGATTTTCCCCTTGACAATGGAGTGCGGTGTGTGGCTCGATGGGTCACATCACATCTGATTCAGATTACAAACAGCTTGGGCCACACACTCATTTGGGGTCTCATAGTTTGGCATTTGGTCTCTACTAGTAGCAAATCTAAAGCTGCTGCTCAAACAGAGAATAGTTATTTGCAAAAGAGTGTATATCTTTGCCCCAAACTCCTTGCAGGTGTGGCTCGATGGGTCACATCACATCTGATTCAGATTACAAACAGCTTGGGCCACACACTCATTTGGGGTCTCGTAGTTTGGCATTTGGTCTCTACTAGTAGCAAATCTAAAGCTGATGCTCAAACAGAGAATAGTTATTTGCAAAAGAGTGTATATCTTTGCCCCAAACTCCTTGCAGTTTGTGCTGTGACTCTCATACTAGGAGCTGCCAGAACTTACAAGAGTGGCAGCTGCCATGGACACCTTGAGCACCACTAGATCTGTGGGGTTATCTGGTAAATGGGTCAGAGAAGCATACTTGATTGTGGTCTATATTGTCTCTAAAAGCTAAAGAAAGCCAATAGTGCAGGACACTCAAGTCCACATTTCACAACACCAGCTTAGCTAAGCAAGACTGTCCCACCTGTTAGAGCTAACACACTGAATCCAGAATCTCTGGTAAGTCAGCTATGTTGATAAATTCAGCCCATTCCAAAGTTATGCTCTGGATTGATACCATTACAATCCAATCCCCATATATTCCCCAGGTTTCTGCTGATAAAAACGATTAATATCCTATAATTCTTTCAGTATGTGAACACCTCCTCCCAGATCAGGCTTTGCAGTTGTTTCCCTGGGGCATGCTAGGATCTGACTCAAATTATGGATTGGAGTTAATGAGGGGCAGGTCTTGAGAAGATTCAGCGTGTCCCCTAGCTAGATAACCACCTCAAGTTAGGTCGTTAATAGGACCTCAAGCAAGGAATGACTAATCTCCTCAGAGAGCAGTAAGTAATCAGGTATTCTCGCTGACTCAGAGAGATTGAGGGTTAATGGTTCTCGGATTTAGTGTATCCTCCCAACTATCCCTATTTTAATTCTCAGGACCCCCCTCTTCCTGATCAATACCTTAACTTCACATTTAAAAAAAAAAACCGCTGGTGAAGCTGTGAATTCAATTTAAGTTGCAAGAGCTGGCTGGTTAGAGCACAGCCTTATAACACTAAGGTCACAGGTTTGCATCCCCTTACTGGCCAGCCACCAAAAAATAGATAAACAAATAAATAAAGGGTGCTGGAAGAGCTGGAAGGGCATAAGGGAGAAGGGGGAGGTGCTCTGGAGCAAAAGTGAGAAGGAGATGCTACCTAGAGATCAGGAAGCTCGTAGGGCTCCTGGCCTGGAGCCCAGGAGCCCACACTCACCCGTGAATTGTTACAGGTGCTGTTGCTGCTGCTGCTGCTGAACAGAAAGCCAGGGCGAGGCTGCTCAGACCAGCACCTGTGCTGGTGGTGCTCACCGTAACCCTCCTGCAGTCACCACCCTGCTGCCAGCACCTTCACACAAGCAGATATATTTCTTCCTCCCTCCCCACTGCAATCTCTCATGGGTGGCGAGCAGCAGCTGGCAGAGGATTCTGGGAAGTATAGTTAAGTGACTTCTAGCACCCTGGGATACAGATGAGAAAGGTGCAAAAAGGCATCAGAAAACAACCACTACCAGGCTGGCCAGTTAGCTCAGTTGGTTAGAGCCTGGTGTTGTAACACCAAGGTCAAGGTTTCCATCCCCATACCAGCCATCAAAATAAAGATAATAACTGCCACACTCCTTGGGACATTGTGAAAACAAAGTGAGCTGACAGAAAACAAGAGCTAACAACAGAATGATGTTAATTCATCATGCTTTTTCCAGTGCAGGGAAGTTACCCAGGATTACAGTTTTTAATTCTCTTACTGTCTTAGGTTTGAAGCTCCTTTTTTTTTTTTTTTTTAAGTGGTGAGCATTTTGGGCCGGCCCCGTGGCTCACTCAGGAGAGTGTGGCGCGGGGAGCGCAGCGGCACTGGGCGCGCTGAGGCCCTGGGTTCGGATCCTATATAGGGATTGCCGGTGTGCTCACTGGCTGAGCGCAGTGCAGGCAACACCAAGCCAGGGGTTACGATCCCCTTACCGGTCACAAAAAAAAAAAAAAAAAAAAAGTGGTGAGCATTTTTCCTCTTTTCCAGTCTGAAGACTTTTTTGCTCCTCTCCCTACTTCTCGAGTGATTAATGACTGCACATACCACCTGCAAATTCCATAACCTGAGCCTTTCACTCCTTTTCTCCTTGAATTATTTTGGCTCTCTTCCTCTTAACTCTCCAGACAGCTTCTCTTCTGTTCTCTTTCCCAATCTTAACCCATCCTGCTCTCAAACATGCTCAAAAGAGGACAAGCCATGTAAAAACAATAACCTGCTAAAGAAACAAAACATCTAAAAACTTGAAAATATGTCAACATTATGGCTTATTTCTTGTGAACCAAAGATCCCTATTGTGTAGTTGGGTTTTGTCGAGCAGTTCCTTGCCCTGATCTCTTGTCAATGTCAAAGGCTTTCCCACCTACAGAGGACAGATCTGGAGGGAGCGGAAAGGAGGTCCTTTTGACTAACAGCTGAATTCTGAGGCTGAAGCAGCATCTCCTGCTTCTGCAAACCAAGAGAAGTCTGCTCTGCCCTGGCACGGAGCCATTTAGTCATCACTCAACAGCCAGCGTGGGATTTTTAACTGGATCTGCTCTTACTTCAAAACTCTTAATGGTTTTCCACTGCTCTCAGGAGAGCCAACTTGCCTGGGCCGGTCCACCTCTCCTGCGCTCTATGCCGCCCTCACTAAGCTCCAGTACAACGGCCTTTCCAAGGCATCTTCCTCCTCTTGTGTCTTCCCACAGGTTGTCTTGTTCAGAAAGCCTTTGCATGGCTGGCTCCTTATCTTTCGTCTGATCTGAATGCAAGTGACACTTCTCAGAGACTATATCCTATCACCCTCACAAGGTTTTGTTTTCTTCATAGTACTTACCATTGGAGATGTTCTGATTTTTCGATTTCCCTCAGACTTAAAAGCTTCATGAGAGCAGGGACCACGGCTGTCTAGTTCACTGGCTGTATACCCTTGTGCCTAGCAGTGCCTGACATGTATTTTGTGCTCAGTTATTTGGGCCAGGACATGAGGTCACAATGGTGAAGACACTGAAACTTAACATGCTCTAGTCCAAACACCTGCCAAGTTTGCTCCTCTCACTGTGTCCAGGTAAAGGCCACCCCCATTCTTTTGCTCATATCCCACGTCATACTGGAAAGTCCTGTTGGCTTTATTTTCAAATTAGATCCCAAACCCCACCACTTCCCATGATGCCTGTAAAAGCTGAGCTGGACCACCTTACTCTCCCAACGGCCTCCCCACTCTGGAAGGAATTCCCTGGTCTCCAAGACCCTCCCTGAGGGGGCTACCTTGGGGCTACCTTCCGCCATTCTTTCTCTAGTTGGTTTCACTTTAGCCAGGCTGGCCTGATCACCACTCGCCAGGGTTACGTCAACCTGGTCTCTGCTTCCGCCCTTACGCATCCTCGCGCCACGACCCCGCCGCCCCCCTCACAATCAGCAGCCAGAGGAGGATCCTTTTAAAACTTCTTTAATCAAAACCTTCAACGACTTCTCATTTTTCTTAGAATAAAACCCAACTGGACCTAGTTTCTGGCTACCTCAGACCCATCTAGCACACGTGGCTCCCCACAGTGGTCTCCCTGAGCTTCCCAGGAAAGGCCATTGCCACTGGGCCTCAGGGCCTTTGCACTTCCCTTTCCCCAGGACGGCGCTTCCTCAGACCTCGGTGTGCAGGGCTCGTTCTCCCCGTTCACTATCCCCCCGGATAGAACAGCACGCCCCGATCCCCGTCATCTGCCTCCGAGAGGGCCCACCGCCCACCTGCTCCTCCTGCACTGAGACCCGCACTCAAGCCTGTGCATCCCTCCGCTCCACTCATGGTCTGGCTTCCGTACCGAACCCCCACTGACCGGAACGGGGGCCCGTGGGTGAGAGGGCAGCAGAGGAGGGCAAAGGGCCCGGACGCGAGGGGGACAAGAGCAGAGGGCAGGGGCCCGCGGGGCGCGGGGTACAGAGGGCAGGGGCCCGCGGGCGGCTGCGGCGCAGGCTCGGGGCGCGCGAGGCATCACGGGGCTCGTAGTCCGCC